GCTGCAGGAATTGTGAGGACTTCTGTGATTGTAACTGGGGTTCAAGTGTGTTCACGAATTTTCATGGTTTGGTTCGTCACCAACAGCATCAGACAGGTGAATATGACACCACCTCTGCCTCGGATTATCACACGCAGAAGAAAAATCACTATTTCAGGATTAGTTTCTTGATTATTTCGGTAAAACAGTGCATAAGAAATACATTTATAAATATAGCATTTATTCTCATGAAGATAAATTCTCACAAGACATTTTGCTGCCTCATATTTTCAAACAGAACAAAGCTAACATGATCTAGACCAGCTTTCATCATCCTTAGACTTAAAAATGTATATTTTGCCAAAGATTCAGAATGAAGAGAGCGTAATCCTGTTCCTGGTTGTGTGGACGATGACAGAGCTCACCAGATATTCCTACTACACATTCAACCTGCTCCACCACCTGCCGTTCTTCATCAAATGGGCCAGGTGGAGATACTCGTTAGCCGTGGCTGGGATAACGTTTCATTAGCGTGTTGGAAGTTGTGTGTCAGCATGTTGGACTGATCTGATGAGTTTGTCTCTTACAACAGGATGTGTTGTAACATATGTATAACAGCGTGTAGATGCTTTATTGGTGAATGAACTAACTGCTCACTTTGTGCTTTAGCACAGATTAGGGTTGGGAAAAATTGTATTGTGTGCACTTAATCGTCAGAGAAACTTCCACCAGTTAATATTTGCCACTTTTCAATTCGTGATGACAATTTTTTTTTCTTTATGTGCGACATACTCACTGTCAAGTGTGCATATGAGCTCACATTGTGGAAAAGGTGGGTTTCCACTCATAGCTTACTAATTTAACCTGCAAAACTGAAAAAAGTTAGTTTGACTGATGATTTGTAAGTATAATTTTAGAACACGTGGAAACTGATTTAAGAGCCAAAACATGCAGCACATTTGTCATCTTTTAATTGTCATATTATGCCATGATTCATGCTAAAAAAATTCCAATATCGCCCARCCTTTGTACTGATAATACAGAAGTGTATGTCTGAGTTATGGGTTTTAAACTGATTTTGAAACAGGTTATGACATTCATCACTTCCTTAGCAATCAGCTTGTAAAAAAATGAAGTTTGGGGATTTTAGGGTGTATTCACACCAGCCCTGTTTAGTCTGTTTTAATCTAGCTCTAGTTCGTTTGCCTAGAAATTCTGGTTCGTTTGGGGAGGTGTGAATGCGTAAWCGAACTCTGATTTGGACCAAAAAACCTAACTCTAGTCCACCTCCAAACCTAGGTCTCAGAACTCTGGTGCAGTTCGATTGCATCGAACCGAGACTATCATGTGTCATACGACTTTAAAGTGAAAGTTTATCAGCTTCAGAGGGAAACTGTGTCTTCCTTGTGTTGAAGGGATCTGCTCACCTGAAATGGGAGCTGTTCAGAGGAACGTTTGATAGCGGTCCAACACAGTCTCAGTGTCTTACAGCACAGGAAGGGTCATCAGCCTTTCTGAACAACAGTTTCACATTAACACAGAGTGTGTCCGTGTGTCTGTGTGTAACGACGACCGCAGCCCTACCTGAAAAATACCCCTTTTACTTTAAGTGTCATTCGTCCATCTCTGTGCCAAACCTTTGTTTTCTCTTTGGTTTGGATTCTTTCACACTGAGCGACACTCTCCTCCCCCCACCGTTCACATCTTTCTTTAAACATGGAAGAGACGCCATGCCCCCCAGAGAAGGGCTCATGTTCAGCTGCTCCTGTTTTTAAGACCCATCTGTTTTGGTCATGGAATGCTCACCCAACGTTTCTCCCACATCCGCCGAGACGCTTCCTCGAGCCCCTYGACTGAAGGCAGGACCCCTGCAGCGCCGGGTCACAGTCTGCTGTGTTGTGCACTGTTCTCGTGAAAGTCAGCACACTGTCTTACAGTTGAATAAAGTGACAGGAGAGCCTTTTCTGAACGTGAACATTCTTTGAATGTGTTCTAAATCCAGCCAAAAACAGCAGGATATTCAAGTTCTGATGCAAAATATTATTATTATTTAATAATATTTAATTCACGTTAAATAACCACAGTGCATCCAGTGGTAGTGCCGCTATGATTGCTGACTGTTGTCTGAGGTCAAATTACAGCCACAGTCTGATCCTGCAGCTTTAACCACTACAAACCGGTGCTAAAYTAAATGTCTGGCTCACTGCTCAAAGTTTTGGTGATTTCCCGTCATTATCAGTTCCTCTTGAGCTTCTAGTTTGCTTCTGTACATGACAAATTATAGTTTATGTTGAAAAAAAAAGTTTGAAACTAGCCTAAAACACAATACTGTTTTATACTGGTAAACAATAGTCTGATTTCTGTTTCAGCAATTACACACATTCTGACACGAAAGAAAGTAAAACAACATAGAGATCAAAGTAAATTAGGGAATATGTATTAGATTTACCAATGAACTGGTTAAAAATGTCTTCATTCTTTAATATTTACTTTATCATTTGCTAACATGACTTGTGCTTTATTCTATTATATTTGTGCAATACGTCTGCAAGGAAAGCCATTAACATGTAAAAATAATCTTCCCAGGAGTTGGACTACTCATTAATGTCCGTGCATGTGAGTGTGTTCCCATCCTATAGTTGTGTGCTTGGTTTTGCACCTACGAAGTCTCTGCAAGTTTCTTTAAGTCAAATTTTAAAAGTCTTCTTTTTGTTTTTGTTGCAGATACAACTTCTTTATCGTCTTGTACCCGCTGGGAGTCGTTGGAGAACTGCTTACCATTTATGCCGCTCTGCCGTTTGTACGCAGATCTGGAATGTACTCCATGAGGCTCCCCAACAAATATAACGTGTCGTTTGACTACTACTACTTCCTCATCATCGTCATGCTGTCCTATATTCCATGTAAGACTTAATTTCCTGTACTGTGCACCACATTTTTAATTTAATTGATTTACTGGAACAATAATGATGAACAATCTTAGTGTTTGAGGCCCAGAAAACAAAATAAATTACAGCAATCTTACTCATGACTTAAAGGTAAAGATAATGAAACTGAAGGTCTTCTGATCTCTACAAGCTTGATATCTAATCCATATCAAGGTTCTTACTCTTCAGTGATCAGCTCAGCTGAGAAGGGGGTCTCTGGAGTTTTTCGGTGTGTGGGAGAAGTTTGTCAAAAACAATCAGTCTGCTTGACTTTTGTTGGAGGATTTTGGTAAAGATGTGATTGATCAGTGGGGTTTGAAGAAGTCAGGGGCAGCTGGGGGGGACATGTAGCTCGATCAAAACAGCCAGGAAGCTCTTATATTTTTAAATATTTATAATATTAGTCATAGCTCAAGACAGGAAAGTTCTAGTCGCTCCAAATTTGTGGTCAGTAAACTATGTTTACTTGTTCACAATAACAAATATAGTGTGCCGTTTGACTACTACTACTTACTCATCATCATCATACTGTCCCATATTTCATACAAGAGATCCAGAAAGTGAAGCTCTCAATTTACTGGTCAATATACGTTCCTACCTTCATCTATGGTCAGGAGCTTTGGGTAGTGACCAAATGAACAAGATCACGGAAACAAGCGGGTAAAATTAGCTTCCTCTGCAGGGTGTCTGGGCTCTCCCTTAGAAATAGGGTGAGAAGCTCAGTTATCCAGGAGGGACTCATGAGCCGCTGCTCCTCCACGTCAAGAGGAGCCAGTTGAGGTGGCTTGGGCATCTGGTTAGGATACCCCCCTGGTGAGGTGTTCCGGGCACGTCCCACTGGGAGGACACGCTGGAGGGACTATGTTTCTCAGCTGGCCTTGGAACACCTTGGGATTCCCCTGGACGAGCTGGCCCAACTGGCTGGGGAGAGGGAAGTCTGGGTCTCTTTGCTTAGGCTGCTGCCCCCGTGACCTGACCCCAGATAAGCGGAAGAAGATGGATGGATGTCCGCAATGATTGTTTCTTGAGATATTGTTTTGTTTTTAGCTATAAATAGTCAATAAATTCTATTTACATGTTCATGGTAATTTTATTATTACCCTTACTTCATCTTATAATTTAGTTAAAAAAGTTAGGACAAACTCCACCCACACACCAAGAAACTCCCTTTGTGTACTGCACAGWCTCCTACTAACTCGACACAGTCTAGTTGGAAGCTGAAATTGAGGCAAATTAACACCAACCCAACAAGAAGCCCCTTTAAAGTGTACACCATCAGTGATTTGTAATCATCAACCAATACCTGCATCACAATAACTCAGTTACTGAGAGACAGCACCACCCTCAGACCACACAGAGCAGTCACACTCAAATAAAAATTATGACTCTGAGTTAGAGCAGTTGAAGGCATCAATGAAACTTATAAAAGCTTAAAGTGTCTCCTGATAAATCACTTGTTGKAAGTATTTCTTCTTTGGAGTGGAAAACCTAAACTTTAAGTTATTTTTGTTTGTGGGTTTGGTTTGGTTTTTGCAGTGTTTCCTCAGCTCTACTTGCACATGCTGCGGCAGAGGAGGAGAGTGCTCCACGGGGAAGTCATAGTGGAGAAGGACGACTAGACGAGCCCCACCTCATGCTTTTGTATTAGACAGCCTGCCTCCACATCACCCTCACCCCCGCTTCACCCCTCCCCCATCCACAGTTCAACTTTCTGGCCGGTAACATTCTTACATACACGGGACCTGAAGAGCAGCTGACAACCTGTCTGATGAGAACCACAACCATCTGTGATCAGAAACGACAACGAGCAATCATCAGCACYGAATGCTAATGATGGATTAGGAAAGTGGGATTAACCCTTGTCTGAACGAGTATTTGGCGAGATGTTTACAGTCCTAAAAAAAAAAGGTGCTGGAGCTTGAGACAGAAGCCTGGCGTCTCGTCTCAGCACTCAGAGATCCTGATTCCTTTATTCTCCCACCAGCTTTGCAGCGTCTGGTCGTRCAGAACGAGAAAGAAACTGAGCCACACCACTGCACCACGATGGAGAAACATAGAAGGAAGAATCGTATGTCGTGTGCTCTGATTTGTTTCCCTCGCCAGCCCACCAAATTGGCATATTTTTCCACGAGAGATTTCACACATTGATCGTAGTGGCTGCACAAACAAGGTTCAAAAACAATCAAAAATCAATCCGTTTTATCATACCTCAACAATAAATTTATAATTAGACAACGTGCTGCTGCTTTTGTGTATATTTGTTTTACATTTTGTGTAAATGATACAATGTGAAATGAGCGGTTAATAGGAAGCGTATCTCTTAATCACATACTGTCTCACTTAGAGCAAGCACAGCTCAAACTTAAGTCTTTGTCTGCTTGGCTCAGCTCCTGCATTCTTTCATGTTTTATTGTTTACTGTGTCCAGGTCATTCATGAGTCTTGACAGAAGTCCAAGCCTCCTTTTAGAGGCAGGAAGGCTACATTTGAAATTTGTGACGGCTCTCGCAGTCATCGGTCTTTGTCTCGTTTGTTTTTTAGAATTTGGTGTCCATACCCATAGAAAAGTAGTTAGACTCCCTCCAAACCAAAGGTGCTATTGTGAGATCTTTTCAATCTTTTGTGCAGCTGAAGGAATGACTGAGCGGAGTTGACCTGAAGCAAGAAAGAAGGATGTGAAATGGCCGAGAGCATTGCCAGTCAATGAACTGCATAGAGCATGGTAATCAGAGAGAATCAACAGTTCTGCTTAAGATCTGGGAGGAAACAAAAACAAAAATAAAAATAAAAAAAAACGAATGACAAATTAAACAAGTTATTTTTCATTAAGGAAAAAAAAGAAAAAATGTGAAAATACCTTTTTGTGCAACATGAATAAACTCAGTTCAACAGTGAAGAGCGTTTTTTGTGGTAAACCTCACTGGATTTGTTTTTTGTGCAAATGTAGAAATCAAACGGCAAATACAGTCATGATTTTATGGATTTATTTGCATTTTTCCTTCATTTGTTTTATTTAAACCTGAGTGCAGGAACTGGCACATTTTCTGTTTGTAGGACGACTCATCAGATTTGTTTCATGTCATAAATCTTGGATGTTAAAATATAAACATGCTGACCAAAAATTCAAGCTGAYTGTGACCTTTTCCTAAGACTCTCGATTATTCAGACGTACGTAAATGAAATTAATATGTAGACATCCGTGAGGTTAGATAAAGGGATTCTTTAAGATTGCATATCAGCGAGATGTTTTGTTGCGCATCATTTTGCACCTTTTATACTCTATAGGACAGGAACATACAAATTAGTTCATTTGGTTTCATATTATTTATACTTCCCTACAAAACTTGCCTAGTGAAATAGACATTCAGATATTTAGTCGTACAAAGAGTACAGTTTTTAAAAAGTATTTGTTTTGGATAACCATAAAAATATATATATAAATCCATTGGTGATTTGGTAATAAAAAAACATTCCTCCTTTGGATGCCCTGTTGTATTGCACTTGCTGGTAATGATGAACTGGTTTCACCACTTTGGAGGATTCAGCATCAAAAACGTTTGCTGCTGCAGCACGGGGCTCATCTCAATACTCTCCCTTTGTGCTCTGGACCATCCACGTGCTGCGTCAGTCGACCAGTGCCACACAGACGAAGTATAGCTGCTCACTGTTCACTTCCATTCATCGCGCTGCTATGTTTCCGCTATAGGAAATAAGGGGAAAATAAGTTCTATTGCTGCTGAGCGGAAAAAGCCGGCAGAGATATTCAGAAGTGAAAACAGACGTACAGGTCTCAATTTCCTTCTCACAGATGTAGCTAATGTGATCTTCACAGAAGAAATCGTTCCATAATGCTTGATGGATAAGACCGGCGCAGTCTTCTCCAGCTTCATGGAAGTGGCCCCAGTTATCTGGCTGTCCAGGCTTCCACTTTCTGCAGACGGACAACAGGGGGCAATCACACATTATGTTTATGTAGTCTCATTTGCAGTCAAATGCAGGTGAAAAAAATACAAAATACTTTGATCATGTAATTGCAGATTTATGAGCTCAGATGTTTTACWTTTGTAGAAAACATCCATCCTTGGGACAGAAAATATTCTCACTAATGATTTAACACTGACGTGAAAGCAGGCTCGGTCCCATCCACCCAGCGCCACACGTTCTCCTCCTCTTTGTCCGTCAAACCCATCCAAAAGTAGCCTTTTCCAACCATTTGCTTCTCCAGCCACGCCTGAGTGAGAACAAGCGMGCACTTGGTCACATTTCAGACTCGTGGCACAACACTGATCGACTTCACACRAACAGATTTATACCTCACCTCTTCCTCCATGTCGGTGATGATCAGTAACGTTGCAGATTTGGATTCACATGCTGCCTGTGCATCATCAAAACTGAGCAGGTCTTTGGAGAAAAGGTAGCATCTGTGTCTATAGTTCACCCACCCAACAGGGCACCCTGCAACACAAACAAACATAATGAGTAGTAGCCAATGATGTGGTCTAACAATCTTTACAATTACTTAAYGCTTTAGTTAAATTGATGCTTCATTTTTAACCAGGCAAATCCCTGAAGGCAACCTATTGTATATGGTTTTTTTTTTGGTCCGTGGGGGAAACCGGAGTACCCGGAGAAAACCCATACAAGCACGGGGAGAACATGCAAACTCCACACAGAAAGACCCCAGGTCTGAACCGGGTATCGAACCCAGGAGCTTCTTGCTGTGAAGTATCAGTGCTAATCACTGAGCCATCAATGATTACTTGAAGAAATAATGGAAATAACAAAAAGAACTTAACTATTCATTTCTATCAAATCATTTGAAACTCAGGATGAACAATGTTTCAAAAACTGATGATAAATTCGTACCTGGGGCCCACAGCGCAAGAGAAACCGTCTCATCCTGCAGAGACTCTGGTCCAAAAGGCACTACTGGACTATGTACGGAGATCCCTGGTAGYCCCGGTGGTCCCACAGGCCCTGGGGGCCCCACTGGTCCTGGCAGTCCTCTTGGTCCCTGCTCCCCAGCTGGTCCAATTGGTCCACGGATGCCCGGTGGGCCTTGTAGCCCTTGCGGACCAGGCTGTCCATCTCTTCCAGGTAGACCAGCAGACCCTGGTTCTCCTTTACCTCCTGGAGGTCCAGCTCTGCCACCTGACCCCCTGGAGCCTTTGGACCCAGGGCTGCCAGGCACACCTGGGAGCCCCCTTAACCCTGGAAGACCCGGTGGTCCTGGACTACCTAATTCTCCTCTGGGTCCTCTTATCCCTGGAGCTCCCTTTTCTCCTTTTCCTCCCTTTTGGCCTATCAGACCAGGTGGTCCTTGAAGTCCTCTGTCCCCTCGTGGTCCTCTGGGACCAGGTGGACCTTGAAAATAAAAGTTTATTTTTAACTTGAGAGAAATTAAAAGTATTTCAAAAGAAGGACCACAACAAATGTGTCTTCATGGCACTACTGTGCTGAATTTCCAGGGAATATAAAGGATATTATCCAAACATCTGACTGCTGGATTGAGTTTCATGTACAGCAAACAATTGAGTTGTAGTCAAGGTTTCACACAAAAACACATATTAGTTTGCATGAATCATAGCAGCCACACATCACTCACCTTGCAAAATGGTAAAATTGGTTATTAGTTGTGAGTGCTTGGTGTCCACCAGCTTCATCTCCTCCATAACAATGGAGAGGCTGGTGACCTCCTTGTCCACTCGTGCTGCCAGTTCTTCCTGCTGTGACCTCAGACTGGCTGCGTCTGTCCTTACGTCCGTCACGCTGCTGTTGAGGTTCAGCAGGAAGTCTGAGTGACGACCGACAGTTTCGGAACAAGTGCGTAAATCATTCAGGTTAAGGTTTATGGCACCCAGAAGCTGTGTTGTGAAGCTCATATTGCCCGTCACACGGTCCATGCTTTGCTCCAACTCGTCCAGCCGCACCTCCAGACGATCAAACTTTGTGGACGTGAGGTTGTTGAAGTCCCTCTGCTGGTCCAGGATCTCCCTCAGCGTCTGGTCGTGAGCCTCAGCCAGGCTGCTGGTGTTCTGGATCTGACTGGTCATGAAAGTGAGCTGTGCCCCCACATCCTCCAGGCTGTCGTTGTTGGCTTTAGCTAGAGTTGAGGCGTTGTTGGCCATGACCTGCAGGTTTTCCATTTTACCGCGAAGCCACTCAGTATCAGAGCGTGTCTGTCTGGCAGTCTGCTCCAAGCTGTGATAATCACTGCGCATTTTCTCAATTGCCTGGCTTTTTTCATCAACCGAGCGCTGCAAGGCTACAGTGAGGCCCCTCTGCTGGGCCTGAGTGAGGTTGAGGTTGCTGATGCTGAGCAGCGCCTGGTTTTGCACTTTGACTTGCTGCTGGAGCTCCCTCTGAAGCCTGTCTTTGTCCTCCTGTAAACTTTCGAGGATGCTGTTGTAAGACTGCAGGGTGCCATTCACAAAGCGCAAGGCAGCCGTGTTGCTGCTGAGCAGTCCTTGAACGGAGCTCTGGCTGCTCTGAATGTCAGAGCCAATCTTCTGCAGCTGACTCAGCTTCACTTGATCACGCTGGATGTGTTCCTCCACCGCAGACAGCCGCCTCTGAAGAGCCCAAAAGTTGTTCTTAAACGTCTGGATCTCCGTGGTGGTATTCTCTGATTTCTCCCCAGTTTGATCATCTGAAAATGAACGTTTGAACAATGAGCTGCATAAATGTTTCAATGTTCAGCTTTTACATTTGTATCAACTCAAATACATACCAAGCTTTTTTAAATCAGTCTCAACAGCAATTATCTTTCCTCCATAGTTTTCAATACCTTCAGATACACTGTCGACTTTTTGCACCACTGCAAGAAAACAACAAAAGGTACCAAAATGTTAGTGTTATAAGGTCAGTACATGACTTAAATAAGAGAACAAAATGGAATAGCAAAAGTGCCTGCAACCACAGACATTGTCTGGTGAGGAAAGTCCTTATGAGATATGTTCTTGTAAGCATGCAATAAAGGTCGACTCTTAATGTGATTTCTTGGATTAGACCAGATTTGTTTGGTGACATACATCAAGACTCACAGAAAATGAAATTTTGGAGTTACACCAATACATTTAGGAAAATGTCATTTAAAAGACACAAATGGGAGAAATAGAGATGCAGAAAAGATGGATCAGATTATCAGTAACAGATTAAGACTGTGGCTGCAAAGTACGACATTGGCCAATGCCCTGGAGGACAGGAAGTGACTGGATGGGGCTCTTCGGTAATCAGACGGATCAAAGACGACCCACTGGAGACAGACACAGTTGCAGGGAGGCTCTTCGCGCCTCCACATGTAAGACCAGCATTCATTTCCTCTGGAATGCGTCTGGGATTCCAGGGAAGCGGCCCACTTCTACCACCAGCCTCGCCACGGGGACACTTCCTCTAACTGGGGGGCAGCATGGGCTCCTCTGCTGGAAGACTGTTTACCCCAGCAGCTAAGACAACAATGAGACACAAAGGCTTTCCCTTTTCCGCAGAAAGAGAAGATCAACTGTAACAAATCCATCCTTCCACTTGTCCGAATTTTATTTGTTGTCCCACCACAATGCCCCAAAGTTCCTGTGTTTAGTGTTTTTTTTTTAATGAAAATGTTCTTACTAATGGTCCACAGCTTTTTGAAAACAAAGTTTCAGCTAACAGCTACTTAGCTTAACATAAACCTATTCACATAATGAAAATTCTAGACATGGTTACTGTATGTACAAGTTACCATTTGACCTAGCATGCATTATTTGGATTTCTGTGGGATGAAATGGGACTGTGTGGAGAAAACCAACACACACAAAGGAAGAACATGCAAACTCCACAGAGAAAGGACCCCAGGTGTGTTGAGACCCTACAGCTAGCTTGTTATAAYGCAACAGAACCAACCATGGCTCTGTTGTACTACTTCAAATAAGCCAATCTATGGATAAAGTGCCTGTTGAGTAACAAATACTGATGCATTAGGGAATTTTGAGAATATTTATCAATGCRGTCTTTTTTTTTTTTTTTACAYTTCTRCACCTTCTAAATCCTCTAAGCAACCCATGATTGTCGGTACAAATAAACAGATTTAAAACCACATTGTTTGGATAGGAATTATTCACATAGAAATCCAAACGGCACATTTCCTGGCAAAGCATCCAGCATTTATTGTACTTATTATACGTATTTACTACTTTAAAACMCTTTTCCATATGTTCTGTACATGTACGGGCCACCAGGGATGATCATTGCGTCACACTGCTGTAAAATCAACCAATAAACAGACATTCAAAAAGTATGAATAACTGCCGAGAGAGGCATTACTTGGCCTTTAGGTTCAAATGTTGTAGAACTACGTGTCCTAACTGACTTATTAAATCAAACCTAATGGTTCTATGTTTCTATGAAGCAAGTAAATTCAGCTGGAGTATGGCAATAATCCCAAGTATAAAATGTTTTTTCCCCAATGGAATACAGTCTTATTTACTGATTGCTAAATTTGTTGTCACTTTTTTTCCATCACAAAGCCTGCTGAGCTGTCTTGTACATCAGTGTGGGCTCCATATCTTGGGTTGAGTTGGTGTRGCAAGGAAATAAGAGCTCTGGTTTCCCAAATTCTTGTTAATGAAGCTAGAACATATTCTGCTTACAACTCTTACAAAGGTCTCTAAAGCAACACTTGAGGTTAAACTGCATCAAAACAAAGCAGCCCCACCTCTGTGGTTTGTGTAGGTCAGCAACGGAGAACAGAGAGATGCACACATGTTAAGTGCATACAGGGGTCCTGGTCTCACTGCCTCGCCATCTGGAGCTGGGAGCGTTTGAACTGTGGTTCCCCTGTCAGAGCAGAGCTTCAGTGCAAGTAAAGACCCAATTTCAGTGGGTTCTGCTGGACTTGCACCAAGTTTACTCGCTGCTCATCTGGGATCAATTAGGCCCGCATGAAAACATGCAGAGCWGTCCAAGGAGGACCGACCGTGCTCAAAAAATTTAAGGGACCATCATCGTACAGGCGCTCAAAAGACAACGATAACCCCTAAAACAGGTTAACGTCATGCCTTTTCACCAGCTGAAATAATGAGGGGACATAACACAGACACATATGGGAATGTTTAACGTGACAAAAGCRAGGATGTTAAGAGTTCAACCCTACAAAAGACGGCGGGAATGGTTTCTGAAATGGAAAAAAAAATAATAAGGAAGTTCGGATCCACATAGAGGTTCTCCAGAGGTGTGAGCTTTGGGGGTGATGGAAAAGTACTGAGAGGAGGTTGTGGGGTGGAGACAAAGGAGCTGAAGAAAGAAGAAAGAGGAGACAGGCTGAAACTTAAAGGGTTCTGTTCACCCGAATGACAAAAATTTAATTACTTCTTGTGGTTTGTTGCAATGGAGACAGGTTTGACTGATGTGATGAGGCTTGGGATTTTTCTGGTTCCCACTTCAAAACAACAGAAGTGAATAAAATTTAATTTGTGGCGAGTAGATGCTAACCCAGCTATTTGTACTGAAAATATAGTCTTTGTTGACAGGAAKTCTGGAAAGCAAGATCACACAATGTGTTTCAAATACTATTATTTACTGCAAACATCTATGGTGTGCAGCAAAATATTCATGTCATAATGTAGACATATTAAAACTAACAACTGATTTTTAAAAACACGATTCATCACTCAGTCAGTCAGTGAATAAAACTGGACATAGAGAAAACCTTGTTACTTGAGATAATTAATAAAAAAAACACATATTTGACAAACATGGATCATGTTTTGGACTGTTCATTGCACAAACGTAATGACTTGCAGTGAATGATCTTTGTGTTTTCTCCCTCYGCTTTCCCTTTTCTTTCCTCTGGTATGATAACAATACATCTATTTAAACTTAACTTTGAACTCTACCAGATAATAAGAAGTGTTAAAGGATGAGCAAAGATTGGCATCAAAATCAATTGGAAATATTCGTGTTCACAAGYAATTTTTATGATTGCAGTTTTAAATCAGACTTTTCCTTTTGTAAAAGAATTCTTCCTTTAAAGGTTAAGTTTGCTACATATCTTGAGCAGGCATGAAAGATTTGTACAAAAAAAGATAATTTCACATATAGCGCGAAAACTGGAGTTTTGCTGACAGGTTCAAACAGGAAAATTATAAGATTTCCATCTCGCTCAATTGTCCCACAGTGTACAATAMTTACTTAAGTGCATAAAAATAGGACGAAACAAATCAAACTTTTAGTCAAACTGTAAAAACAGAGTCCAGATACTTTAGTTAATTTTACTTCTTTGCTACAGGAGGACTTTGGAGACTAGTTTGGAAACAGCATTTATGAGATGGTCTTTAAAATGTCTCAAAATGATTGAGGGGGTTCTAAATTTCATCACACGTTTGAAGAATTTGTGCAACAAATATCCTCTAGAACAGGGATGAACAACTGGTGGCCCAAGGGCCACATCCAGCCTACGGGTGACATCCATCCGGACTGCACAGAGAAGTTTACTGAGGTCACACGTACAAAAACAACAGCGTATTTTAACCAGAAACATGCAGAACAACGCAAGATGTCATGCGGTTGCACTTCAGCTCGCTAAAGTAAGTGAGGTTTTTTTTGTTTGCTTCAAATATTTTGTATTCATATTTAAACAAGAGTACAAYTGTGACACGCATTTGAGCATGAAACATGTTAAGGTACTGAACTGCATACATTTTGAAAATGGCAGTTTTAACACGTTTGGGTAAGTGTGCAGCACTATGTGGCTCTCTGGTAATGTTGACAAAAAAATGCATCCCTGTTCATCAATTAAATTGAAAGTAGTCTCAGAATTGTTGCATGTTGCATACAGAATGTACTGTCCATTTTTAAGAGCAGAAACAGACTACACATGCACTAACGTACAGTAGGTTTGTAATGCAAATTCCTCTTACAGGGTTAAGTTTGGATCTGCAATCAGTTTATCTATCATGGTGAGACATGACAGTCACGTAATCCTTACTGATCCTCTGCAACAAGATAAACACAGAAATGTTCAAAATGTTAGCACTTTAATGTTTTTATTTTTATTTTTGAAGTCTGAAAGAGTCATGCTTTCCATTCCTGGTCTGATGTGTATAAAAACGTATTGCAACAGAACATTCATGTCATGCTTGGCCACAATGAAGGACTCTTGAGAGACAAAGAGCTGCATGTCTCTCACACAAACACACGTACGCTCACTGTGAACAGCAAGGCTCTTGGCAGCATGAAGGGAAACCTAATGTTGTGTTTGGATGTCCCTCATTCAACACAAGAAAAGTAAATTATTACATTTTAGGGAACACTGAGCRTCCATTACGCTGAGCATGGATTAAACCAGTCAGGTTCGAATGAGCGCACAGAGTAAACTCATCTTACCCTTATATCCCAGTACAGCAACAGCGATGGTGAGGAGAGTACACAGCACATAGAGCAGAGCTATGGAGGTCTTCAGTGCCCAGTCATTCTTACACTTGGTGCATTGGGTGCCCTCCTGAATCCCTGTTTGAAAAAAAATTAATAATAATAATGTCATTTGTATTTTTTTTTATATATATTTCTGAGCAAAAATATTTAACGTGGACAAACTGTTGGAGTTAAAGGCCACTGAGACATCTGGACAAACAGCCCCAGAGTCTACATTAAAGAGAGCAGCAGTTCCCTCAGGTCCTGGGTGGTGAAGGGGTAGGAAACACCCCCCCCCCCACCACCACCACCACTCGTTTACACCCAGCGACATGCTTGTTTTCCCGAACTCACGTCTCTCTCTGCACGCTCGCTTTCTGAGTGAAACATTCTTCACTTTAGTGTATATTTGTGCAGCATAAACTCTTGCATCCTCTCTCCTGCAGTGTCAGAGTCAAACTAAGGGCCTTAGCTTGAGGGGGGGACACTAGTATTATTACTAGTACTATTCCTGTCTAAAGTTTTTTTTTTCTACAGCAGATGAGTGGCAGAATCCACAGTGCTGACGGGAACACAGCTGTATTTCATTTTCAATCCAGGAAGTGTGTTTCTGTGTGAGTGTGAGCATTTTGTGTGTTCGAGACAGGCAGGAGGCGGTCCGGTTTTTTTATGCTCCTGAAATGAGACTTCCTCATATATATATATAT